ATTCAAACATTAAAGCATCACAAGCGAGATGGGAACGATATTTGCAATTTACTGAATAAAACAAGGCAAACGTTTCGGTCACATGTTGACCATTTTCATTGCCAAGCTAACAGTGTTAGAACTAGAAACCATCTTAATTAAAGTTAAGTTTGAACAAGATCAGTTTCTTGGCCACTTATGTTTGTGTTGATGACCATACTTTAGCTCTATTAGAAGGATGGACATTCATTCTCCTGTAGCCAGACATTTTGTGGATGCTGACCATAAACGTAGTGACATGAGATTAACAGGTATTCAGAGATTGATCAGTTCAAGAAGAGGTGGTGATTCTAACAAAAGACTGTTACAATGTGAAGCTAAGTGGATCTATTATATGGACTGTGTATATCCAAAGGGATTAAATGAAGAACTTCAATTGTCTTGTTTTTTATGAACAGTACTTTTGTTAACTCCAACAGACAACCATTGTTCTCTAATTTGATGTAAATTATCCATTGCTCTACTTATACACACATTGTGCCCCCCCCTTTTTTCTTTTTTTTTTCTCTGTGTGTGTCCTGATTGATCATGTGATCTCTTTAATTATGTGATTCCTTTAATTAAGATGGTTTCTAGTTCTAACACTGTTAGCTTGGCATTGAAAATGGTCAACATGTGACCGAAATGTTTGCCTTGTTTTATTCAGTAAATTGCATATATCGTTCCCATCTCGCTTGTGATGCTTTAATGTTTGAATGTGCAGACTCTTTTCAAGCTCTTCATCTTTGGGTAACCTTTTTTGGTCCACACACTTCAGTTGGATTTTTTTGAAGGCACGGTGAGTCTCTGGCTGCTTCTCTAATATTTTGAATGCATAACGCAGCAACTGCGCGTCTCGTGGGCTAAACAGCGTAGTCTTCACTGTAAGAATTAAACTTTTTTTTGTTTTTCATTAAAGCTACAAAAGTCCTTCACTCAAGAGCCATGTGTGATTTTGAATTTGTCTTTTGTTGTTTGATTAATATTAAGCACACAGTTGGATCCAATTTACCGTTACACGCCTATTTTCATTCTCAACTCTTTATGTTCATTTATTACATGACCGACGAAGGTATAAATGAATAACCACTAAGTGCCGCATTTTGACAACATTTTTGCGTGTATTTGATCGTTTAGGCGCACACATTGAGCTAAAAGATGACTTTACATTTTCGTATTCTGTTCCATCTCTGAGCACATATATCTTCCTGAGGAGCAGTGCAAGTTCTCTTTCACGCTTTTAAAAACATGAATAAATATACTTCTATAAATCAAGCCTGTCCCATTTTGCAAAGGTCATGTTACATGATTTTACTAATTTGCACCTGAAACTGGGCTTTTATGGAGGAACGAAAACGCAGCGCTGGAAAAGGGGGCAGAATGGGACGCAATAATCGTTTTATCTCGATTGTTGTATTTTCATAATCGTTGGAGGCCAAAATCGAAATCGAAACAGTTTTTCGATTAATTGCACAGCCCTAACGCGAATAATAAACTTTAACTTAAAATACATAATAATAGCAATAAGCCAATAACAATTATTGGTTCAAATGAGATGCACTTAACCGCACACATATACATAAAGTGCATATTAAACTCGCAGTGCATATATTTATTTAATTGAATGGCAGACTTTGTGAGTTCACAATAACGATATGCTTTATGATTTTTGAATGGTTTTAATATTCCGTGTAGCCTTAGAAAACAGTCTAATAATGCTTTTCATGGATTCTCGTCCATGGAATGCGCCACTTCTGATATTTTGCCGGTTAATCGTCTTGGGCAAAATGCAATCAAGGATTTTTTATAATCAAGTACTCAAATTTAATTGACAGCCCTACTTCAAAGTTTACTGAGACCCCCCTATTGGGCCCCAGCTCCTGGGTTGAGAGCCACGATTATAACTGTTTTATAAATAAATCTGAACACCCGAAGTATTAAAGAATTTAGTTTCATGTGACCTGTTGGAGATGTCCATTGCTTCTTGTATTTCATACCATGGGAGTTTCTCTCAACTTACGGCAGGAAAGGGGCATTCAGGAAATGTAATTTCCTCTCAAAGACATACATATTACTGAAAAGGGGAAAACTGTACAGGTTTCATGACCCCCAGAAGTAAATCCTGGCATCCTGAAGCTGGCTGACTGTTAATGCATTTGATACTTTGTATTTCCTTGTCTTGTTGTAAAAGGCAGTTGCTGTCATTGTAAGGTTCTCACAGGCGCCACCAGCTTTTAGTGTAACTGGCTGGGCAAGCAAGACCAGTCAATTGTGAACCGTGTCTCCACACAGAATATGGAGGGTGTTGGTTGTCCCTGTAAATCTCACTCTCTGGATGTTTTTCTAGGTGCCTCCTCTCTAGTACCAGAGACCATTGTTCCAATACTGTGAGGAAATGCAGACGTGTAATGCATTTATGAGTTTAAATTGTGAATGCAGATTATAATGCTATAAATGCTTCCATGCATGGCTATAGTCAGAGTTTATATGAGGTAAGATTGTGGTTGAAATCCTGGAGACTTGTTCTCTGCTGTTGCTCTGCTGAGACACAGAGAAGACAAGGCTTTAATGAAGCCTGCTGTGTGAGGAAGAAAAAAATGGAAGAAAAACAATAGGGCCAGAAGGAGTGAGAAATAAAAGCAAGAGGGAAAAAGAAAATGAATTGGAGAATAAAGGAGCGTGTGCTTTGGCCGTGGAGAACATTTTCGATTGAGACATGCTAATAATGAGCTCATTCTTTTATATGCATTGAAAGAAATTTGTCTTTTTGAATGGTTTTAATATTCCGTGTAGCCTTAGAAAACAGTCTAATAATGCTTTTCATGGATTCTCGTCCATGGAATGCGCCACTTCTGATATTTTGCCGGTTAATCGTCTTGGGCAAAATGCAATCAAGGATTTTTTATAATCAAGTACTCAAATTTAATTGACAGCCCTACTTCAAAGTTTACTGAGACCCCCCTATTGGGCCCCAGCTCCTGGGTTGAGAGCCACGATTATAACTGTTTTATAAATAAATCTGAACACCCGAAGTATTAAAGAATTTAGTTTCATGTGACCTGTTGGAGATGTCCATTGCTTCTTGTATTTCATACCATGGGAGTTTCTCTCAACTTACGGCAGGAAAGGGGCATTCAGGAAATGTAATTTCCTCTCAAAGACATACATATTACTGAAAAGGGGAAAACTGTACAGGTTTCATGACCCCCAGAAGTAAATCCTGGCATCCTGAAGCTGGCTGACTGTTAATGCATTTGATACTTTGTATTTCCTTGTCTTGTTGTAAAAGGCAGTTGCTGTCATTGTAAGGTTCTCACAGGCGCCACCAGCTTTTAGTGTAACTGGCTGGGCAAGCAAGACCAGTCAATTGTGAACCGTGTCTCCACACAGAATATGGAGGGTGTTGGTTGTCCCTGTAAATCTCACTCTCTGGATGTTTTTCTAGGTGCCTCCTCTCTAGTACCAGAGACCATTGTTCCAATACTGTGAGGAAATGCAGACGTGTAATGCATTTATGAGTTTAAATTGTGAATGCAGATTATAATGCTATAAATGCTTCCATGCATGGCTATAGTCAGAGTTTATATGAGGTAAGATTGTGGTTGAAATCCTGGAGACTTGTTCTCTGCTGTTGCTCTGCTGAGACACAGAGAAGACAAGGCTTTAATGAAGCCTGCTGTGTGAGGAAGAAAAAAATGGAAGAAAAACAATAGGGCCAGAAGGAGTGAGAAATAAAAGCAAGAGGGAAAAAGAAAATGAATTGGAGAATAAAGGAGCGTGTGCTTTGGCCGTGGAGAACATTTTCGATTGAGACATGCTAATAATGAGCTCATTCTTTTATATGCATTGAAATAAATTTGTCTCCAGTCTCACAATGACTCATCTGTTGACATAATAATCATCAGAGAGACCTAATGCAATATGATAATACGTAAAAGGCTCTATTTACACTGAGACAAATTTAAATGTTTGTGTAAACTGCTTTAGTGCTGTTAAGTTTACAATATCTTTAGTAGCACATGGAAGCAGGAAAACTGCTCTTGTGCAAGTTGTTGTTGATTAGTGCTGGTCTCCAATAATACAGTACAAAAATGTGTCATCAGAGCACTACAGGAAAAAAAGTTCCTTGCCTGAGGAATGATTCAGTATTACACCTAAGGTACAACTACAACTGTTCAATTATGGCATTTGTGTATTTGAATTGCTTGCTCTTGAGTAAACTCACTTTATAGGGAAGAGAGGCAGAGTGCGGTGTGTTGTCAAAGAATGCTAATAGTGTGTCTGTGCACTTTAAGTTTAATCACTAGCTCTTTAACAGCTTCCACTGTTGTGGGCCTCTTTGAAGATGGCTTAAGGACTGCATTTGATAAGTCAGGAGACCTAAGATACCTGAGGCTTAGGTATTTTTTATAACCACATGCCAGCATTAGACATTACAGCATGTTGTTTTATTTTTTTTGGTTTATATTTGTTTGAAAGACATAGTTTGTGGTTCAGTACCGGCTTGTAGTAGGTGCTTTGATCTTTTCAACATCAAGTTATTTTGGTTTAGCTGTACCAAAGAAACATTAAAAGTGTAAGATGCTTATAATCTAACGAAGAGAGTTGTTAACCAAAGATAGTCTAAAATCTGCAGTGTTCACTTTTAAAAAAACATTAAAGATGTTCTTCACTTGTATTGTAAAAACTGTACATTGAATGCAGTGTATGTCGCTGTGAAGAACATCATCTACCAAATACATTAGTATGTAATATTTCACTCAGAAGCAGAAGCTTCCTTTTATCGTTTTCCTTGTGTTTCCTGAAGAAGAGCAACATGTATGTGGTTGTAGACTACTTGGATAGAGGCTGTAAATTAAGTGTTGTTCTCAAGGATGGCACTAGCAAAACCTAGGGTCTCAGAGATTGGTACTGTATTTCAATTGATCTGAAAAAAGTACTTTCTCTCTCCCCTTAACCCACTTTTGTCTTTTTACTCACAGGTGGCTTTCACATTGGATTCTTGAACATCTGATTCTAGCCGGGAAAGCAAGATAGAGAGAGAGGATTGAACATCTGCTGAACACATCAGCGGAAGGCTGTCACCAGGTGGGCTGTATGCTGTGGCTGTGGCTTTGGAGACGGAGCCAGAGGACTTCTTTATGTCCACAGGCCTCAGCTGTCCAAAGGGGGGATGATCTGGAGCGCTGCACACAGGCCTATCATTAGGCCATCGGGGCCCATGCTAAGGAATGGATAGTTTTGCTGCTTAATGTTACAGTGTAACTTCCCTTTAACTATGGGTCAACGGTGAAGGATTGATATGGAAATCCTTTTTTTCCTTGGAATCAGCTAAAGCAGCAGTTGATGCAAAGCAACTTTTATTTGCTTTTTAGGATTTATATAATTTGACGTTTTTATATAATTGTGTCTACATAGCATTTATTGTTTTTAGGTGGCTTGCATATATTACAAAGCAGACTTTTGGATTTATGAACAAACAAAGACCATGGCTGCTACCTATCGCATTGTGGTCAGCAGTATTAACTGTTATAACAGCGTTGTGATTGACCGTCGTGTCCAGCACACTGTACACTACTGTAATGGGCCCTGTGGTGCACTAAAACATGGACTGAACTGCACAGTGGCTCACCGCAGCACTTGTGCCGAACTTCTTGACACCCCCATATCTAGAACCTGCTCTGACCGGCCCATCGGCCTTCATGAGTCCAAAACAATGGAGAATGGCAACACCGGACCTGGTGCTTTCTGCGATGACTACCACCAGGTCGTTCCCAGAGTTAAGAAAGGATCTGCCATCCAAAGCTCAGCAAGCCTCAAGGATATTACAGGGGAAGCTATCAACCTTGCCAGTGGAAAAATTAAGGAGTTTTCATTTGAGAAAATCAAATACTCTTCCAGCCATGTGACTTTCAGAAAGGGCCGTAAGGTTAGGCCGGACTCCTTCAGCAGGAGGTCCACTGATCTAGACATCATCTATGGCCAGTTCACAGGCAATGATGAGAACTGTCCTCCATTCGGCCTGTTTCAGAAATCTGTTCTCGAAGAGCAGAAGCTAAGTCGCAGTGCATCCCTAGAGCAGAACTTAAACAATGTGGCCACGCTCTACCTGAACAGCCTCACCGAGGAGAACCTAATTACCCGCATACTGGAGAAGACCAAGGCAGACAGCAGTGCCTCAGGAGAAGACATTAAAGCCTGTCTGGACATTCTCCTTAAGTGCTCGGAAGATCTGAAGAAGTGCACGGACATCATCAAACAGTGCATCAAAAGGAAGTCGATGGGTGGAAGCAGCGATGACTCTGGGAACCCTGAAGTCATTTATAAAAATGTGATGGCTCGTCTATCCAACTACCTGAAGAGGCTTCCTCTTGAGCTGGAACAGGGGCAAAGTGTGAGGCAGGAGCACAGTGAGCTTGCCGAACTAGTCAACAGCATACACGGGCTGCAACAAATCCCTTTCTCCCCCATCTTTGGCAATGAGCAGCCTCCGCGCTATGAGGACGTTGTTCAATCTCCTCCGCCCACAAAGCCTCGACTGAAACCCTCCCAGCCAGAACCTCTAGAAGGCTCTAGGGATCTTGCAAGCAATGTGAAACCCTCTGGTTTGTCAGCACGTACACCTCCATCAACTAATGGGTTCTCGCATGGCAGCTTGCCTTCGGCCAGTAGCGGTTCAGCACCTTATATCTGCCACCACACAGTCTCAACCAGCCGACCGGACACATTTTCTTCCACAAACTCTCTCTTGTCTAGCAGTAGCGAAAGCCTCTGTAAGGATGCCATGGAGGCTCTGTATATCGAGGAGGAGGATTCGGATTTGGGAAGGATGCCGGACAGGGCAGTTAAAGGGGATGGGAAGCACAGCTGTAGTATTTCGGAGTCCAGATTGTTCTCCAAAAGACCCACTGGCTACTCTGAGCCTAGTGGTGGTGTTTCAGATAAACTCCATGAACTTAGTAGAAATGGAACTGTGTTCAAGCCTAAAAACGACTCGATGGTCAACCAGATGTACTTGCCAAAAAGCACAGATTCCAGGCTGTTCCCTAGATCAACCACACACGTTAATAAAGGGGGATCCGATGACATTGATAAATTGCTCATGGACCTGGAGTGTCTTTCCCAGAACATGCAAAAGGAGCCTCCACTGCCCCCTAAACTTAAAAACTGTGCCCAGCAGACAGGCTCACCCCAGCATTTGATTGGTAACTCTGTGGCTAAAGATCTACCAGTGGCAGGTGTGTCTGGACCCTTGATGACCAAGCCCTCTGAGATAGGGGTTGAGGCCACCGAAGAAGATGATGGAGCTCTGCTTCTCAGGATTCTTGAGAGCATTGAGAGCTTTGCTCAGGAGCTGGTGGAGAGTGGAGCTGGGAGAGGAACTCAGTCTAAGGAGCGAGAGGTCATGCGTCTTCTTCAGGACACGCTGGCCAGCACCAAAGCAGAAGTGGCTCCACTCCCGCTGCCTGTACCTCAGCCTGAGACTGCATCTACACCAGCACAAACACCTAAATGCACACCTGCCCCAACACCCTTAAGTGCACCTCCTGCTGTACAAACCCCTGCTTCTACTGTAAGGGACACGGGCTCAACACTTCTCATTCAACAAACGCCAGAAGTCATCAGGGTGAGTTCAGCTAAACTGACAGTGTCTATATAGAGTCTTCATGTCTCGTCCAGTATCTGTGCAATGTGTATCATTGGTAAAATGTAAAAAAAAGCGAGATAAATATATAGTTTCGTTATGAAACGCAGACTGATGTTTTGTTAATGTAACTGATGATATTCAGAGAGTTAAACGATTTGGCACAAGCTGATTGGTTCATGCTGCATATGCAGCCAATGAGCTTACTGTCTTGCATTTATATGGCTGGCTAGCATTCACTAGAGATTCCTGCAGTGCGCTTTCAGAGTTCTCTGAAACTAAACAGCTAAGATAAGTAAACAGTCTTCACTCTGATTCATTGGATTATTGCGTTCGTCAGATTTACATTTTTAAACTAGAAAACATACAAGTTGTAAAACTACGTGCAGGTTATTCGCGTGAGGAGTAATTACTAAGCATGTCTTGTTCATATAACAGCAGTAGCATTCTGTAAGGGACACGGGCTCAACACTTCTCATTCAACAAACGCCAGAAGTCATCAGGGTGAGTTCAGCTAAACTGACAGTGTCTATATAGAGTCTTCATGTCTCGTCCAGTATCTGTGCAATGTGTATCATTGGTAAAATGTAAAAAAAAGCGAGATAAATATATAGTTTCGTTATGAAACGCAGACTGATGTTTTGTTAATGTAACTGATGATATTCAGAGAGTTAAACGATTTGGCACAAGCTGATTGGTTCATGCTGCATATGCAGCCAATGAGCTTACTGTCTTGCATTTATATGGCTGGCTAGCATTCACTAGAGATTCCTGCAGTGCGCTTTCAGAGTTCTCTGAAACTAAACAGCTAAGATAAGTAAACAGTCTTCACTCTGATTCATTGGATTATTGCGTTCGTCAGATTTACATTTTTAAACTAGAAAACATACAAGTTGTAAAACTACGTGCAGGTTATTCGCGTGAGGAGTAATTACTAAGCATGTCTTGTTCATATAACAGCAGTAGCATTAGCAGCAGCAGCAAGCAGTTTTCCTAGTTCATGTATGTGAGAATAGAACATCAAGCATCGCAGATTTAGAACAGTAAAGTGAATTGGGGATTACCTTATTTGCCCGAAATCTCCAATGCTTTTGATATCTTCTGTGGGCATTCATTTCTACATTAACCGTGAACGGATCGCTTTCAGATGCACACCTCACTAGTGGGGTCGGTTTGCAGTTGGCGTTTCAGTTGTTCACAATTTAAGTCAAGGTGAACCCGTATAACTGTCTTTCATAAACGTCATCCTGTCAGCAGCCTTACCTGTTTAACCATAACAACTTAATGAGCAGCAGAAAATAATATACCCGCTCATACTTGTACTCGTGCCGCATTGCAATGCGCTCAGAAGAGTGAGTGCCCGTTCTTAAAGGGGCCACATCTCTATTTCAATCATTACCTTGGTTCAGTGATAATGAAGAGTTTATAATGAAAGTCATATTTAGTGATAGTTTAAAGATAATCATGAATTTGTTTTAAAATATAACGATACTACTAATAATAAATTATTTCCAATCAGTAGCTCATGTACAATGTAGCTAATAACAGGACACTTTTAAACTGGAATTTTCTATTTGTGTATTCAGTTGGGCTTACAGCAATTATAGTATTTTCATGGAGTGTAGCAGCAGTATCATTGAATTCAGATTGCGTTATTAGCGAATTGTTAATTGCAGTAGGTATAGCAAATCAAGTCAAATTATAACTGTTGTTTATAACAGCAGAAAGTATCTGGTTGCATGAAATTTCAGTGATAACACATGGGGTAAGTAACTCTTAAAATTGAAATAGGCTTATATTACTTCATTTATTTAACAGGGTGTACAGAGATTTTGTGAATTCTTCAATTCATTATTTTCATTATTTCATTATATTAATTATTTGTTTGCGTTTCATTATTTAATAAAGATTCTTAGTAATTCTAAGTACCTTCGTGCAGCTGTAGCAGCAGTATGCATAGCTATTCCGATCGCAATTTTTAGCTAATTTAATAGCAGCAGAATGGCATAGCAAATTAAGATGCAATGTTAGAAATAACATTAGCAGCAGTCTGCATAGCAACCAATTATTATTGCTAATATAGCAGGGGCAGCAGAAAGTACTTGGTAGTTGCATGAAATTTCAGTGATAATGCATGGATGGGCTACAGAAATTCTAGTACTTTCATGGAGCATAGCAGCAGTATCCATAGAATCAGATTGCGTTATTAGCAAATTATTAATAGCAGTTTAAAATGGACTTGAATCGAAATTACTAAAGATTCGCAGGACCCTAATATATATTGCCTATGTACCAATATATAATATACACGCTTGTTTCGATTTAAATAGAACATATTCTATTTATGTTCTATTTATGACATACTGACACAAAGTTAAAATGATTTGCAGCGGTTGCTTTGTCGTGTCCAGTGTAGAGCTGTTGCAGCGCTACGCGACATGTGTAGCATCCGGTATAGACGCGGTGAGTGAAGCCGAGAGCAAGATATGCCTCGTCATATTTTCTGCATTTAGCTTTTGAATGACCAGCACCTGCCGGGGTCTGTGCGACTTCATCTATGGCTTTTCTCTTCCCTTTCACAAACCGATCCATCTCCAATTCTAACTTACATCCTTTGGCTGTTTACTGTTTTATTTCTTTTCTTTGTCTGCTGATGGCCCGTGCCCCCCCCCCGCAATACTCGTGCGCCCCCCTGGCGGGCGTGCCCTACAATTTGAGAACCACTGCTTTAGACAGACTTTAAATAAATAAATAAGAATAGTACTTACAGTCTTCGAGTCAGAACAGCCGGCATTGTAGTCTACTCTACCAGGATCAGTAAACAGTCCTCCATAAAATGTGCACACATCTGAATATTTGGGTTGAAGTGTTCTGGAACAGTGTTGTAAATACAACTTAACCACTGATTTCTAGTCGTGTCCATTTTTGGAAAGCCAAACAAAGTAGTTTCGCTTTCACAATGAAACACAGCGTCACACACGGCAGCCTAGAGTGAGCAGAGGCCGGGGGCTAGAGTGAGCAGAGGCGGTGGGCTTGAGAATGGCGTGGCCGGCGGATTCGACGAAGGAGGCTTTCGGCAACCACATGTGACGCCCCCGGGCTGGACTCCACTTCGTCCATGGTGAAAGCCGATCCGGCGATCCACAGCGCAAAGTTGTTGTATTTCCTCAGCAACCAGCACGGATCAGCTCCAGGCATGACGAAGCAGATATCGTCCTCTTTTGGAAGGCCAAACAAAGTAGTTTTGAAACACACAGCACCTTCACGACATGGCGGCGACAACAACAATACTACAGCGAGAATAAAAGTTACGCCTTCTTTCTTTGCGTGAACATTTGGGCTGCGTTATGCAAATCTTCTCACATAGCGACGTAGACATGTGGGGAAGTGTTAGAACGAGCCGTTTTAGGTAGGTGTGGCTGACTCTTAACTTTTATAAAGAATATCTCTTTGGATTTGAGACTTTAGTCTTTGCAACTCAACAGATCTTCTTTATGCACCAAGAGCTTGTAACACTCCAAAGAGAAAGGAAAAATTGAAATCACATCATATGACCCCTTTAAGGTCGAAGTAATGAAATGCACCGTAACACTGTTACTGTTTGAGTAATTTCAATGTGCCCATGGACTGTCAGTGTGTTTGTTTTGCTCCCCTTGTGCTCCCAGAGACCCAGTTTCTCCCATGTCTGATTGTGTTCATTTGATTCACCTGTGTTCCCCTGATTATCCTCGTTTAGTTCCTGATACTTAAGCCCTTTGTGTATACTGTGTATATTTATAATGTATATATAAATACACACACATACAGCTTAGACGGTGTGTGCCATCAAAGTACTGCGAGAGCTATAAGAGAGCGGACGTCTCCTTATGCTTTCTCTCGCCGTACTTTGATGTCATAGACCGATCAATCTTCAAGTCGAACACACCTCTTTACGCTTGTGTGTAAAGCTCATGCGTAGACACCGTGTTAGAGTAAAATAGGCATTCGCCTTGCTACTTATACCTAATTTATGGATCTCTCAGCAGTTCAGTCTCATGTGCAGTAGCAGCAGCTTGCATAGGCATTCAGTCATCGAGATTTTTCTCAGCAGCAGCATACACAGCATTTCTATGTAGCGAATTTGAATTCGGACACAATTAATGTAAAAGCAACTGCATTTAAATATAGTCACTGTAGTGTCCTGCTCAAGACCATCTTGGAACGAGCCATGCCTTTAGCAATGATGTGTTCATACAATGCAAACATTATTGTTCTTAATATGCAATATAAATATTTTAAATGATCAAAAATAAATGAGCAGCTGCTTTTGAGGCAGAATTAATCCTGGGCATATGACACCACAGCTACAAGGTGTTCAGTGATTTATTTTTTCGCCAAATTGTTTGTTAGCTTATTAATAAGTTAAAGGTAAGTATTTCCATTGCAGTAACGTTGATGAACGTTAATGGGGGAGAGAAAAAAAATACAACTCTTGAATGACAAATTTGAAAATATTTGCTCAGGCTGCCCGACAATCTCCAATTTGAGTTGAATTACTGAAATAAATGAACTTTTCCACGACATTCTAATTTATTGAGATGCACCTGTACCGTGTGATACCTGTTTGTAACGACACAGTGCGCATTTCTACCTAGGTAAGTTTGAGCTATTGGCTCAGACACACTTAGTTATTTAGGTCATTAGTTAAATAAACCTAAGGGTACAGCACCCAAGTTCACATTGTTAAGCCACTAGTTAATTCATCTGGGCTTCATTAGCACAGAAACACTTTTAACTCAGCTTACTAGTTTAAGCTATCTGGTCAACCGATCAGGTACACACAGCAATAGTTCACTAGCGTTAATCCATTCGGCAAAGCCAGCCCAGGCTCACATAGATAGCAAACACACGGTCCTACGGCTCTCCGGTTACGCCTTGACCTCAGCCTCAGTCCATTCCTTGTGAAGTTCACTCAAATTCTTGAATTGATTTTGCTTGACAATCCTCATAAGGCTGCGGTTTTCTCGGTTGGTTGTGCATCTTTTTCTTTCACACTTTTTCCTTCCACTCAACTTTCATTTAACATGCTTGGATA